GGTATTTTTTATATAACTTGTTCTTTTGCTTAACTGATTTTGCAATACATTTTGTCATCCATGGGCTTCGGGTTTTGTCAATATTTCTTTTTACTACTACAGTCGAACCCCTATTAAGCGGACACCTTCGGGACCTCGCGTACGATCTTCCGTGTGTATATTGGCGCCACATTATTAAATTTAGCCTTAGCAACATTTGAAATTTCTCTTAACGACACATACGTTCAACCGCCGGAAGTATCTGCATGTCATGACGTCATTAAACACTCAACCTTTCGCGCTCGTGTTCGACTTTTCCGCTTAGCTCGGGAAAGAGCTGTGTACTGTATGTATCATGTACATTGTACAGTAGTGTGCGTGAGTTGTACAGCCCCAGCGAGTTAACGCTCCGTAGAGCGTCTTGTTCATTTTATTTCGGATATCAAAGTCCGATCCGACTACGAAACAACTTTATCAATCCGATCCGAAATTTACATTTTGGTTCCGAAATCCAAAGGAATCCGATCGGATTCGGATCGGATTTGCACACCTCTACAATAGACCTTAATTTCCCCATTTGAGAGAAATTTTGATCCAGACAAGCCTGGACAAAAATTTCACCACAGCATCACAAAATTAGTAATATTCCGAAGTTTCGTTGAATGTTGTAAAATGCGGATAATATAGCCTTGCGAAGTTTGCCGTTTTTCAGTCATTTTGCATTACAAACGGGAAATTGATAATCAGATGATCAAACTGAAAAACGGCAAACTTCGCAAGGCTATATTATCCGCATTTTACAACATTTCGCAACGAAACACCTCGGAATATTACTAATTTTGTGATGCTCTTTCAAGCTGTGATGAAATTTTTGTCCAGACTTGTCTAGATCAAAATTTCACTCAAAAGCGGAAAGGTCTATTAAACAGACATGTTGCTATTTCACAAATGTGTCCGCTGAAAGGTGATCTGGTTACTAGGGTTAAAACAAAAGTATTTTATTTACATTTTGGCCACAGGGACGGATCTAGCCTCATCTGCAGAGGGGTGCGGGTTTTCCACGAGAAAGCCTTACTGCCCACTCTCCTCTGCAGTCTGCAACGCTACTATCCCAACATTACCATTATCTGAGATGGCTGAATCTGCATGTTCGCCCGTTCTGTTGCGTTTTACATTATCTTTTGTTTATAAAGTTTCTATCGGCTTTTTATCACGTGTATGCGCGACTCGACAGTTGCTGTAGCACAGTACAGTAAATTTGCTTGTTAAGGTTACAGAACACCTTTGAGTGTTAATTTTGCCTAAAATTTTTTTATTGGTTTCCATGAAAGCATTAGACTAGTTCTACTATCTGACCAAGTTTGAACGAAAAATGTTGAAAACTCGCAGAGTTATTTAATAAAATACATTTCGCTGCAATAAGAAAAACATTGAAAATGTAATATTCAAATTCAATTTTCTCCCGAAAAATTTTACGGTAATTAGGGACCGGTCATTATTTATGGCGGGGGGTGGCACCGAAGAGAAAAGGGTTGGGTAAACAAAATTTTGAGTGAGAAAAAGGTTGGGTAAATGAAAAACGAAACAACTCAAAGGTTGGGTAATAAAAATTTATTGTCATTTTCAAAGCATGACTCACTCAAATATTGAAGACTGAGAACTTCAATGTCAACAGTCATATTTCAATACAATATGTGAATCAATCAGAGTCACTATCTTTATCATTTTCCGTTTTGTTGGGAGACAAATGGTGTCTCCAAAGAAAGTAAACGTACAGACAACACGAAACTTTAGACTGCAGAAAAGTCAGTAAATTTCACAAGCCGTATCACAGAAGTGTCGTATCACAGAAGTGGTAAAGGACATGTGTGACAACTGAATGGTATCCTTTTGTAACGTTTTTGGCCAGGGGTGGGTATTTATTTTTTAAATGATACTTGAGGTTGGGTAATCAAATTTTTAATTTTTTAATGGTTGGGTCAGCAAAATTTTTGGCACGAAAAACATTTCTCTTCGGTGCCACCCCCCACCATAAATAATGACCGGTCCCTTACTGATTTTCAAATGAGTTGTGCTCCTGCGGGTTTTAACCAATTCTCCTCACATTTTCACAGGACATAGCTAAAGACGTCAGTTGCAAAATTGTGTTCGGCTTTTTTTTAATTTTGGATATTTTAAAAATAAAGAGCAATTCACTCAAATAATTCAGAAATATATTGCAGAAATATATTAGAACAACTATTTTACTGTATAAAAATGACATTTTCTTAAATATAACTTAAAACCAGCAGGAGCACAACTCAAGAGCGTAACGGTACCGCGATTTAAGATTTTCCTGAATAATCTTACATTATTTTATTGTTTGTTAATTTTACAACTTTACCATATTTTGCATGCACTGGAGAACATTTGGTGAAAATTTGATGAAAATCAGACTGATATTGAGCGCGCAGTAGAGATTTTCCGCAAAACGCCAAAAAGGGTGTCCTGTAACCTTAATGTACAGTATATTTGACAATATGGCTGTATAACAACCTCGACATGTTTACATATTTAACAATGATATTACAGTATTAACTAAAATATTCTGAGCATTTTCTCGTAATATACAATTTAATTAAATCGCTTCAAGAAAACGACACGCGTTAACAGTAGAAGTTCCACTAAGTACGATTAAGCAAATTTGTTTTGGGTGGTGCTGGACTTCTGATCTTCTGATGGGGACACTACCCTAGGCCTACAGCAGCACACTTTACTCAGGGCATGGCGCAAACCACAGCCATTCAATTCTTTTGGTGTCTTAAAGGTCATCGGTGACAAGAAAGGCGGGAAGGCAACAAAATTTTTCAGCCGTATGGAAGAAGTTGCGAATGAGACCCTGGATGAAATAAATCTTCCAGTGAAACTTATACACATGGTTCGAAACCCGTACGACAATATTGCTACAATGATACTAAGAAGTCTGAAAATTCCTACCCAAGATGCCATTGTTTCGAAGAAACAGGTACGTGTGTGATGACTCTCATTGAACCGCTATGGCGAGCAGTTCAGAACGGCATGATAGAAGCATATATTCATTATAAACGAAACTACATCTTGGTGTAGGTTCCATCCTGTAGGAACACTGCATCAACCAAAGATGTTCCTAGGACCTCAAGGAAGAAAAGTTTTGAAACTGATAGAGCTATCCATCCAGTATAAATAAAGTTCGTGTCGTTTTATAGGTTTTCTCCTGTAGTATAACACTTGATCAATACGAGATGATACTTATATGACCTCAAGGAAGAACAGTTTGACATTGATAGAGCTATCCAGTATAAATAAAGTTAGTTTAGTTTATGTTTCCTCCTGTAGTAACGATCAATAAGAGATGATCATTACAGGACCTCAAGGAAGAACAGTTTGAAACTGATAGAGCAATCCAGTATAAGTAAAGTTAGTTTAGTTTATGTTTCCTCCTGTAGTAACAATCAATAAGAGATGATCATTACAGGACCTCAAGGAAGAACAGTTTGAAACTGATAGAGCTATCCAGTATAAGTAAAGTTAGTTTAGTTTATGTTTCCTCCTGTAGTAACGATCAATAAGAGATGATCATTACAGGACCTCAAGGAAGAACAGTTTGAAACTGATAGAGCTATCCAGTGTAGTTTAGCTATCCTCCTGTAGTAACACTGGATCAATAAGAAATGATCCTTACAGGACCTCTAGGGAGAACAGTTTAAAATGAAAGAGCTATCCAATATAAACAAGCAGGTTTAGTTTGTCAGCGCTTCTTTGTAGTACCTAAGCCCTAAATCATAAGATGTCTCCTAAATCAAATGTTGGTTTATCGACGTACAGATAAACAACGCAAAAGCTATGGAATACAACCTACGTACATATCTATGGGGTGTAAAGGAAAACTACAACCTGATACAGCGTTTTGGATCGAGTGTTCTAACACTACATAGCGAAGACGTAATCGCCAATCCAAAGGAACCGCTGAAGAAATTATGCAAGTTTTTAGAAGTTACTTGTACAGAGGACTATTTAAACGACTGCGCTAGTATTATCTACAAGAGTACGTCAAAATCAAGAAGAACAATCGTTTGGTCATATTTATACAAGCAGAAAGTCGAGGAAGCCATAAACGATATCCCATTCTTAAGAAGATACACATTTGAATCATAACTGGGACTACGGTATGTTCACAGCACACTGGAGCGAAATAGTGTTCGGCCCATGTACTGTAAGGTAATCCATATACTCCTTGGATTCCGGATTCCGCTTCTTGGATTCCGGATTCCACTCCTTGGATTCCGGATTCCGCTCCACGGATTCCGGATTCCGCTCTTTGGATTCCGGATTCCGCTCCATGGATTCTGGATTCCACTACTCGGATTCCGGATTCCAGATCGGTTGTGGATTCCGGATTCCAGAAAATTGGCCCAGGATAAGGATTCGTCCGATGTTTGGATTCTGGATTCCACTGTATGGATTCCGGATTGCAAGGCTATTAAAAAAGTCGGATTCTGGATTCCTGGATTCCTAGATTACCTTACATGGGGCGATAGTATGCTCACACTACGTTTGTTTACAAATTAAATAAGCACTCGTGTAAATCCAAAATATTTCAAATAGAGCAAAAGAAATTTAAACGAAAAGCATTCGAGTTTTCTATTTTGAGACCGGAGATACTAGGTTTGCAAGCGCTACAAAAAAGTTAACGGCGTTTGTGTTCGCACGAAGCCGCCAAGCGCTCCATTTCCATCTTGCTCCGTTTACAAAGCGTGTTCATATTGTTGCGGCAAAAATGACGTTTTCAAACAATTTCGCTCCGATGTGTTCCGCCATTTTGTGAAGAATAATTTCCATGGCATTTCTACAAAACTTTATGGCAAATTGATTCAGTACCTTTCTAGCAATTGATATGCGATCATTATTCATCATATTCCTCATTATTCTTGACATATCATCATGTCAGTCGTATCGTAGGATACACTCGATGAATGGAAAAGTCGAAAGTAGGAGGACTCTGTAACAGAATTAAATTAAAATATTTATTAAAGGTCATTCATGCTTGTTTGTCTCAAAGGTGGTGGTCCATTGCAGGTAGTATTCTACAATAAGATGCCGTGGTTTGTGTCTGAACTACCTAAAAATATATATTCGAACGTGTTGGTCCAGTGTATAGGCAGTATTCTACAATAAGCTGTCATGGTTTGTGTCTGAACAGGCTGAAAAAGATATTCAAACGTGGTGGTCCAGTGTAGGTAGTATTCTACAAGAAGCTGCCGTGGTTTGTGTCTGAACTACCTGAAAATATATATCTCAAACGTGGTGGTCCAGTGTAGGTAGTATTCTACAGTAAACTGTCATGGTTTGTGTCTGAAGTGTGAACTACCTGAAAAAGATATCTCAAACGTGGTGGTCCAGTGTAGGTAGTAGTATTCTACAGTAAACTGCCGTGGTGTGTGTCTGAACTATTCGAAAAAAATCCCAAACGTGGTGGTGCAGTACAGGTAGTATTCTACAATAAGCTGCCGTGGTTTGTGTCTGAACTACCTGAAAAATCTCAAACGTGGTGGTGCAGTACAGGTAAGTATTCTACAATAAGCTGCCGTGGTTTGTGTCTGAACTACCTGAAAAAATCTCGAACGTGGTGGTGCAGTACAGGTAGTATTCTACAATAAGCTGCCGTGGTTTGTGTCTGAACTACCTGAAAAAATCTCAAACGTGGTGGTGCAGTACAGGTAAGTATTCTACAATAAGCTGCCGTGGTTTGTGTCTGAACTACCTGAAAAAATCTCGAACGTGGTGGTGCAGTACAGGTAGTATTCTACAATAAGCTGCCGTGGTTTGTGTCTGAACTACCTGAAAAAATCTCGAACGTGGTGGTGCAGTACAGGTAGTATTCTACAATAAGCTGCCGTGGTTTGTGTCTGAACTACCTAAAAAAATCTCGAACGTGGTGGTGCAGTACAGGTAGTATTCTACAATAAGCTGCCGTGGTTTGTGTCTGAACTACCTGAAAAAATCTCGAACGTGGTGGTGCAGTACAGGTAGTATTCTACAATAAGCTGCTGTGGATTAAATGCACTTCAACGTTAGGGAGAAATGTCGGTGGCCATCGAAGGGCTTTCGGTTAAAAGACAAGTCACGATCAAACGTGGATGACAGTTGGCAGGTACGCATTGTTACGGAGGCCCCGCCCCCTAGTTCCCCACGCCCCCTAGTGTCCTCCGCTCCCTAGTGTCCCCCGCTCCCTAGTGTCCCCCGCTCCCTAGTGTCCCCCGCCCCCTAGTGTCCGCCCTGTACACAAACTGTGTTTACCTGTGAATCGTGTTTATGGCCCCCAGCAGCAAGTTTCATGACAACAAAGTTAGTCTTGGCTACTTTTAGAAGTTCATCCACCTACAACACAAATTTAATAAACACATGATCATCTCAAATCTGTCTGAAAATTTTCAACTTTTACTAATGATATTTTAAGGAAAATTTTCTGACCGCGGGAATTTTTCTTGAGTGGAAATGAGCTTTTGGTCCTTTCTTTCTTACCTTCTGGGGAACATTTGATAATCCTTCAAATATCGTCTTTGCCTGTTGAAAACTTCGTGCGGATAACCCAAATAAATCTGTTTCCTATATGCAACAAAAATGAAATTCTCAATCCAACCCTTTCAATAACTTCGCTCAACTAACGTCCCTTTACTACAAACGTAAAAACACACAAATTGTGTTACAGGTCTGCAAACAAGTTGTTACAAATCTGTTCACAAGCTGTCGACAAGTTGTCTTCGCACCGCTTGTTCGCAGTTGTTGTAACAAGTTTGGAACAAGCTGTTAACAATTTGTAACAAGCTTTGTGGCATTATCAGACTTGTTACAAGGTTGTTCCAACAAGTCTGATACAGTCATGATATAACAAGAATGTTACAAGGTTGACGACACAAGGTTGTAACAATATTGTTATATCATAACTGTATCGGACTTGTTATAGAACAACCTTGCCACAAGTCCGATAATAGCAACAAGGTTGTTGCAAGTTGTTGACAGCTTGTTCCAAACTTGTTGACAACTTGGGACAAGCAGTGCGAACACAACTTGTTGACGGCTTGTTGGCAGACTTGCTACAAGGTGTGAGAGTTTTACGTGTGTAGTAAGGCGCACAGAGGTGGCATACTCTATCCTTGTACATAACAATGAAATTTATCTTACCTTTGTTATATGAGAGAGAGTTATACTTAAAGTTTCTTGATATTGTGTGAAAAGTCGAGGTTGAGGCGTGTCCAACGTTTGGAAAGGGAAGAAACGGTGCTCGAATCTCATCTATAACGACAAATCATTTCATAAACTCTCCATCGAATCGTATAATGGCTGCCAAGGCCGGATTTTGGTGGAAATGGTGGGAGAGGTGGAAGAATATTTAGGCGAGGTGCAGCGGTCTAACTTATGGCCCCCATAAAATATTTGGACTTAAAACGTCCCCCTCCCCCCCCTCCCCATATTTGAATCATTGTAACTGTACGACTCATCCAATTTTGACCTTCATTACATTACTACAAAGTTTCTTTCCAAACATTGCATTAAATTAACAAGCAAATTTACAGTACTGTGCTAGTCACGCATACGTGATAAAAAAATAGGTACGCGACCGCGTACATGTATCTGCGCATTAAAGGTCCAGACACGCCGGACGCGATTCGACAACGGGACGCGATTTTTCCATTTTCACTGACCGATAACTTTGATCCAAGTTTAAATTTTCCAAATGTTTAGAAGCGCTATAACATTCTAAGTTACTTGGTCTACATATGTTTCAAACTGATTTGCTCTCATTGGCTGTTTTTCAAACTAACTGAAAAATCGCGTCGCGTTGTCGAATCGCGTCCGGTGTCTGGATCTTAATGTCTGATTCCACGACGGCGAAATTCGTCGCGAGAACTTGTGTCTACGAAATACGGTGGTTGCACATGTGCGATTGTATTGAATTGTCCCACTTTGTCCGCTTTCGCACTAAGTAGAAATGTTTCGTATTCTGCCAAAAAAAAAATGCTCGTGGAATCAGGCCTTTACTGCATTGATGTTGCATTCTCGGAATTACATTTTTACAGCAATTGTGCGAAATTGTGCTAGTTGAAATTATATGCCTGCTTCAGATATAATATTTACATTTAACCAGTGACTTCTAAATTAAGAGGACGAGAACCATTTATATCCCGAATCACGGCAACTGATAACAATCATACAAAAATGTTTCTTTTTATCTGGAGCTAAATATCTGCTATTCATACAGTTCACTGATTACTTTTATGGCCTGTTTACACTGCTCCCGCACATACCGGATTACTTTTCATATCACCTCCAAAGCGGAGTGATTTTTGCTCCGCATCGCGTACCGGATTACTGTGGCGTAGTGTAAACAGCAGCCGAATCCGGTATGAAAATCGCTACGCTCCGAGGCTGTAAAATGTGTGGATTCAAAGACGTGGGATTAGACATCTGTACATGGAGTCATGAGTTAATAATAGTCTCTGACATTTAAAACAACAGGGCTACGTTTATCCTATACTTTGTTTTCATAGTTTAGCCTAGTTTCAGAGGCCTCCATTAAATAACAGTCAAGATATATACGCAAATATAATTTGCGTGCCTATCTAAAATTTGTAATTGTTTCGTGAAGATTCAACCATAAAACAATTGCCGGAAATGCAAGCCCCGATTATAAAAACTCAGGGAAAACCCGTGCGGTATGAAATGCGTGACCTGTGCGTAAACATGTCAATCAAATATCTATAAATATGACGTTTTATATTTGCACAGTACATCGTGTACGTTCTTGTTGTAGAACTTGTGTTGCTCCAAATCGAATATGAAGTAAAATCAGGAGCATACTGTCACAGGCTAATTTTGTATTTTAATACCTCTGGAAATATCAAGGCTTTGGTACCCCTATCTATCACAAAAAGTAACAAATCCAAAACGAAGTATGAGGACTAATATTTTTATATATATATATCATTTCACAGATTAAAAGTATTATTCAAGAAATATGTCCATTTTGATCTTAACGTGATACAAAAATACTAAATAACATGCAAAATTCAGTGCCAAAGAGGGATTTATTTTGCGGTAGTTAAATATGTAAACATATGTTCTCAAACTGGCAGAGTTTAATACCAATTACAGCTCGCAATGCTATATATTTGGTTTGATACGAAGATAAAATAGTAAATACTCATAATAATTGCAATATGTCCATGACCTTACTCAAAAATTTAGATTATTAAATCACATAATGGAACAACTTGCAATTTGCTACGCTCACTCGTTAGCAATAGTTCTCTTCAACACTCGAAATAAAT